ATATATAGGGCAACAAACTTTTTTCTTAGTCAACAGGCGTCTTCCCAAGCATTGTCGTTTTGACTATCAGTTAGTATACTTCGTTTCAAAGCTTAATTCAACGCTGTTCGCAGTCTTTTTTGAGGTTTTTTTTTCAAAATTATGTTTACACCTAGCTTTATCTATAAGCAACGGCTCAAAGCAACACACATTCAAAACTCCAAAATTGCTATTCAAAATCAAAGCAACTTCACAGCCTCAAAAAAGTGTATTGAAACTTTATTGTATTAATTGAAAAAACTTCAGCATGTCCTATGTCGTTTGTTGCCAAACAGTCCTGTCGGGCAGATCTAGTTTTTTTGACAATTTTTTTTCCAAGAATATTTTTGTCTTAGTATCTTTCCTTTCAGTTCATGTTAGCTAGCTTGTCATGCTATGTTTGTGATATATCTCAAGTCATGCGAATCTTTGCGTCCTCTGTGTGAAATTTATCGAAGCAGGGAGCTTTCAGACGACATCAATCAAACAATTGAAGATACAAGATCTTCCGGAAAATGAAGTGAACCAACTACTTGAGACATAATAAAAGTCTAGGTACTTTTAAACAAGTTGATATACCGCCTTTTTGAAGAAAAGTCTTCGCAATCTTCAAAAATATCCTTTGAAGTCTTTTCTTTGGTGTTTTAAAGATAATGGCTTACTTGACATCAAGCTTCAGGTCTACACAGCCTCACAGATTCCGGTTGCAATAGTGGTACCGCGGGAAAGTTCTAGTTGCAAAAAAGAGCTTCACTCATCAAAATTATTAAGTCTGGAATGTGGGGAAATAAGAACAAGGATAGCCGGTTACTGTGTAAAGAGCACATAATGTTCCAACCATAATCTTTAAACAAAACTATAGAAGTTTTTTTCAAAACTTTTTAAAGAAGTGTTTCTGCGTGGGTTGATAAAAAGTCTGATGTAAAACTATATTTTAAGCATATTTGACATTCATAGTAATACAGGCAAATAAGACACAAACATTTTTTTTTTCAAAAATTGACTAGAATAACAAAAATAAAAAAAAATCAGAAAATGGATCTACCAAACTCCAACAATTAATTTTAATTGCTTAAAGGTAAGTTTTAAGTGCTTAAGTTTTAAATTTCTTCTATTTAAGCTGTTGTAAGCTTGCTCGCTTGCTTAAATCGCTCGAATTAAACAAAAAATCAAAAATCTGAAACCAGTTTTTCTCAACACTGGGAAAAAATTTTGGAATTTCTTAAATGTGGTTCGAATCACGACTAAAAGGGCTTTAATTTGACATATCACTCAACCCAATCCAATCATTATTTGTGGCACCTGATTTTGCGTGGAAAACAGAAAAAACTAAAACAGCCAAATGCAAAGAAGTTCCTCCCCATTTTCAATGGTCGAAACAAAGACTGACTATGCTTGGTCAAGCTTAGAATAACTTTCATAGATTCTCTGCAAATCGCAGAAACCACTGTTAAAATTATTATAAAAAGGCTTTCGGGAGTTTTTGTTTTCTGATATCAAACAGGTTACTCGTCGGTAGAATGTTGACACCGTTGCTGTAGATGTTCAAAAGTGTTTCTATACTGTTGATAAATTGGAATAGACTTCCTGTGTTTCGTTTTGATAGCTGATTTAGTCTGCGAAATGGTGTCAACTAGCTGGGACTTCTTGTTGGAATTATTTGTGCTTTTCATCTGCAGACAAATCATATCTGGTGATATATTACAATAGGTGACAGGTTCAAGTTAAATAGCTGGATCGCTTTTTGTTATACCCTGAACAGTAGTTATAATTTATTTCAAAAGCCATATATTTGGCAAAAAAGTGTAAAACTTTAATTTTAAAATAAATTTTCATGTGGCAAAGTATACATTACTTTGCCTCATGAAATTTTATTTAAAAATTAAAGTTTTACACTTCTTTTTAACTTTACAAAAACTATCTTAGCAAGTACAATTGATTGAAAATGAAAGGAATATAGAATGAAACATAGTTCTCAAATTTAGTACATGCACGAACTTAACTCAAAATTACCACCTATTGTAACATATCACCGCATCTTTTGTATAAGCTTCCTGTGAGACTGAGTCTTCTCTTGTACTAAATAAAATAAAGTTTGAACTTGATGGGTGAGGCACAAATTGGTCGCAGACGACAAGTTAGCATTTCAGCATGCAAAACATTGTCGCAATGTATTTTACCATAATAAGTAAAAAACTAATTTGAAATAAATTGATTTTGTACTTTACTGCAAACAAACAGCCATGCTTTAACGGGTGTGCCGTTCGATTTGGAATGTTTCTATGAACTACTAAGCAAATAATCGGTTCAATGTCCGTTTGTTTTAAACTCCATTTTTAAAAATCTGGTAGGTTTTTTATAACTTTTTGAAACATGGGTTTTGTTCCAATTTAGATAGTTTTTACTACAACTGGAACTGAAATATTCTGCTTTTACTGAAAATTTGTAAGTTTAGCAGGTCTGATTTTGAGTTTTTTCTTTTTTTTTGAATATTCAAACAGTTTCAGTTTATGTCATATCATTTCAGACTCAGTCAACTTATTTTGCGTAAATTTGAGGGTAAAATATATCTCTTTGCATTATGTGTTTCGGTTTGTATGGGTCGTAAAAACTTTTAAAAGTAATGAAATTTTTTGACAAATTATGTTTTAGGCTCAGAAGGTTTTGACCCAGAGTTTGTCGCTTTGTTGCCGCTCGATAAATGATTTCAATTCCTTAAGGGATGTTTGTGAACTTCATCTGATACAAATATGAAGTTTTTGTAGCTGTAATTTTTCAACTTTTGTCAAGTTATTTTTTGAAGTAATTTTTTCCAACAATTTTTCAAAATTTCTTACCAACAATTTTTTCTGTCTCTTAAGAGTTGTCATCTGGATTTCAAAGAAGAGTGATTTTTCTACAATTATAACTAATAGGAGTTCTTTCTTCCTGTCACAAATTGATGAACAGCAAGTGTATGGCACAATAAAGCAATTGCTTAATGTTGGTAACCCGCATGACGAGCAAACGACTATGGGAGCTCTTATTTCCGAGCAGCATTTGGATAAGGTTCTTTCTGACATTGACTCGGCTGCTAGAGAAGGCGCTGTTGTTTTCGGGGGGAAAACGAATGAAAATTGGTGAAGGAATGAAAACTGGCGAGTTTAAGCGAGAAGAATAATCATTTTTTAAATTAGTTTGACGTTTTGAGCAATGAACAGTTCGGATTTGGCAACAATTTAGAAGTTTTTATTGAAAGCAAAAATACCGACTACTTATTGGCGCACTGCACGATCTTAGATCTATCTAGAGCTTTCGATGCTGTTGACAATAACACTCTTTATAAGTGTCGCCTTTACGCGCTGAGAGTCGTTCCTCTTAGTTTCTTGAAATATTACCTCACCAGTAGGAAACAGTATGTCTTTCATTCAAATAAAAATTTAACAACAGAAGCCTTATTTTGGAGTACCTCTAGGTTCTGTTTTTGTTCCCTGCTGTTTTGGTTAATATCTATAATCTTTCCATCATATCACAGCACAGTGATTTTTTTTATGACGCTAACATTTTCAAAACACTTAACGAAACTACAGAATTTTAAAAAGATTTGGAGTTAATATCAGAGTGGATGGAAAATAATTTACTCACAATAAACGAAAGAGGGACACAATTAATGGGTACTAATAGGCTTAAAACATTGAAGTGTTACCTAAATTCAAAACAAGTTAGAAATAAAAAGTGCAGTTAAATAAAAAGTGGAGCATAATTTTACCTTCAACCAACAAATTGAAACAGTAAGAAAAAAATGTATTTTTTTTCTGCTTTTTCAAAATCAAATAAGACAGTTTTCAACTCATCTGTTCGAATTCGAATTTACAAGCAGCTTATACAACCAATATAAAAGTATGGTATTTTAGTATACGGAGTTGCCAATAAAACCGCTTTAAAAAGCCTGCAAGTACATCAAAATGTTTTTATTCGATTTGCGTTTTGCCTCAAAAACACGATGTAAGAACAACAAGAAAAACACAATGAATTTTTTCAATCGATAAGTTACACCTATGCGAACTATTGAAATCACTCATTAGAGTAATAAAACAAACACGAAAATTGGCAAAAAATTTCAATTGTGTTTCAAATCACTTGATACCACAAACATTACCAACAACAAAAAATAAACACGAAATAACAAATTCACTAACAACAAGAAAATAAACACGAAATGACAAAAAATTTATTTCTGCGAATACGGGCGGACGCAATATAATTCTCTAGTTAGTTTCAATTATGAATGTCATTTAAAAAAGTTTTAGTTGAGCCTGAACAGTCCATAGACAACCTGATGCATAAAATAAGAGATACTTGTCAGATTGATTGCGACTACATCACAAATTGCTTTCGTAAAAAGCATGTGATATTTTTAAAAATCATAAAGCGTACACTCGAAAAAACATAATATCGTTTTAATTGAATTAAAGCAATTAAATTTCTTTTTGCCTGAAATATATATGATATTCAGTATATATGATATTCACTGACGTCGATACATATACATATAATTCAATATATTCCCTAAAAAAGATAATAATAAGATTAGTGAAGCATAAGAGTGCGAAATTCTAATTATTAATTTATATATTTTTTCCTGGGTCTCTTACATAGATAGACCATCCAGGTCTGCATGAATAGGATTTTTAGCGGTGCTTCAACAGGTTGAGTTACCCCCTGCGCTAGCTCAAGTTGGCATTCGTTCAAGGATAAGTTTTCTTTTTGTTGGATTATTGCTCAACTTGGAACAAATTTATCTATGATCTCCTGCTGAACGATGAAAGCCCAATAAGAAGAAGGGAAACCGATAATTCACAAAGCTAGATAATCAGTATATACGAGTTGTCAGTTTTTGCTACGATAGTGCTGATACGATAATTCATGATACGGTAGTTCATGATAAAGGACATCATCTGAATGCACTTTCATTGAAAATTTCTTTTTTGTTGTTTTAGAGTTGAAAAATGTAAAAAAAAAGTATTTAACAAAAACATTTGAAAACAGGCAGTTTGAATGTCGCGTTTATTCAAATTTGTAAAGTTATCCCAACAAAATGTATCGTGCCAGGCCATGAACTTGAATCTCCAGTCACGCAAGTGGAACTTCATAAACGGCACACCTGTAGCACCAACCGGTCATGAATCATTTTACCTCTTCGAACCCTCAACCGGGTCAATTTTGTGTCAAATTGATGAGTCCAGTAAAAGTGACGTCGATGCCGCTGTCAGAGCGGCTCAGCAAGCATTCAAGTTGTGGAGCCGGACAAGTGGCTTAGAGAAGGCCGAAGTACTTCGAAATACGGGAAAGCTACTTCGAGAAAGATCAAAAGAATTGGCAGTTGCCGAGACTGTAGATGCCGGAAAGCCTATTTGGGAATCAAAATGGGATATCCAAACGGCATTTGACTGTTTCGAATATTTTGCCGGTCTCAGTCCGACTATAAGCGGGCAGCATATTAAACTCAGTGGGGACAACTGGGCCTACACTATTCGTCAACCTATAGGAATTGTCGGCGCCATTGGTGCATGGAACTACCCTATTCAAATAGCAGCATGGAAACTAGCCCCGGCATTAGCATGTGGCAATACTGTTGTTTTCAAACCTTCACCTCTCACTCCGATCAATACTTTGACATTAGCTGAAATTCTGAAAGAGGCTGGCGTTCCAGATGGGGCTGTGAATGTCGTTCAAGGCCAGGCCGCAACTGGCCAGTATATGTGTGAACATCCGGACGTGAACAAAATAACGTTCACGGGAAGTGTTCCAGTAGGAAAAACCATTTCAAAAATAGCTTCTGAATCATTGAAAAGAGTAACATTAGAGCTGGGAGGTAAATCCCCATTGATCATATTCGAAGACGCAGTTATGAAAAATGCCGTAAATGCAGCTTTAATGGGTAACTTTTTATCTCAGGGCCAAGTTTGCAACAATGCTACTCGCGTTTTTGTCCAAGAGTCTATTTACGATCAATTTGTTGATATGATTTGTGAAGGTGTCGAGAAAATTAATGTTGGTAACCCGCATGACGAGCAAACGACTATGGGGGCTCTTATTTCCGAGCAGCATTTGGACAAGGTTCTTTCGTACGTTGACTCAGCTGCTAGAGAAGGCGCTGTTGTTGTCGGAGGAAAACGAATGAAAATTGGCGAAGGTTATTTCATGGAACCATGCGTGCTTTTAAACTGCCGCGATGATATGAAAGCTGTGAGGGAAGAAATTTTTGGACCGGTCATGTCAGTGCTGAAGTTTTGCACTGAAGATGAAGTTCTGGAACGAGCAAATGCGACCAAGTTTGGTCTGGCCGGTGGAGTGTTTACTGAGAACCTAGCCAGAGGTCACCGAGTGGTGGCTGGTCTGCAGGGGGGAGTGCAGTGGATTAACAATTATAACACATTCACAGTAGAGGTGCCATTCGGGGGTCTGAAGGAAAGTGGATATGGGCGGGAAAATGGACTGGCGGCCATTGAACATTTCACTGAACTGAAAACGGTGCTAGTTGAATCTGGAGACGTATGGACTCCTTTTGACTGACACTCCATTTAGCCAAAGAATTCCCAAACTATATTTATTTGAATGAAGAAAACCTAAAGTATATCATTTGATTTTTTAATTGAATGATGAAAACAGCTGTATTAAATATTTATGTATTTTGCGACGCATTGTTATGAACGACGAAACATTCACAGTCAAAGGTAAATCCACGTTAAAATTCATTTTTGGACAGCATGTGAGCAAGATAACGGGGTCCAAAATATCGAAATTGTATTTGAATTATTTTACCAGCTACATACATAAAGCAAAAGCTAAATAATAGCCTGGAGGAAAAGTACTGCTCATCGAGTAGGATATCCTGGAGAGGAAAAGAAGTTGGTCAATTTTTATCATTATTATGATTATTAATATTATGATTATTCTGATTTGCACGAATTGGGTTGCTCTGATAAAAAGTTAAATATTGACACTTGTCCCGTTTTCATTAATTTTGATAGACGAATCTTCTATATAATACAACTAACTGAAAATGTAAGCTCGCTTCGCTCGCATTTTTTCGGTCAAATAAATATGACGGATATAGTTAACATCCCGCTGCCTGTTTGATCCCAAACACACTAGTCAAAAACCTGGAAATAAAATTTGGGTCAAATTGCTTAGCAAAGCGTATGGGAAAAATCGATTCGCAAAAAATGTTCTCTAATTCGCTATTTTTACACAAGCATTTTTACACGCTTTTTTTCCAAACTAAGTCGCAATTTTTGTTGCAACGCAAATATTGTTGCGACAAAATGTATTCATTTTGATCAATAACCAGCTATTAAGTACAGCCAATGCTAAGGATATTAACACAGACTATGATATTGCAAATAGCGCTCAAGCTTCAAGGTATTATTGATCTGTAGCGTAGAGGTAGGGAAGGAGACCAGCAACAAAATAAGAGGGTTCACATTTGGGCAAGGTCGGATGTTTTAATTAATTTTTTCGCACACTAGTTAAAATGCTTCGGCTTTATGAATTGAGACCTGTTAGTTTATATATTTCTTTTTTTTTCAAATTGACTGGTACTGTTGATTAGTCATAATTGGCTTGCGTCACTTAAAAAATTTTGTAGACTCGAAGTTTTACTCATTCAGTTTTTCCCAATGGCTTTATCGGTTATAATTTTGCTTGTGTATGCGTAGTGTAACTTTGCAGATTATTACTCAGGAAAGTGAAAACTTGGGTGGAATATATTTTTACACAGAGGCGAAGCTGAGCTTAGCACCACTTGCGATACAACAAGTAAAAGATTAAAACAGCAAGACACTCAATAAATACTAAAGAGGACTTCGAAAGTTGTAAGCGTAGAAGAAACAACTAGAAACAAAAATAAATGAAAATCATTTTTTTATGTTTTAATTTATTGAAACTTTTTAAAAGAGTTTCACTCTGGGTTGAATTTGAACAATCCAAATTTTTTATTTGGGGCCAAGTTTTAACGATCTCATAAATAATATCAAATATTTGTTGAAAACAAAATATTAGGTAAATAAGTCGACAGAATTAAAGCTGTCAGCCAATCAGCTGAAAATCAATCAAAATTGTACGGCAAAACTTTATTGGGAAATAGACATGTACTGCCAAATAGTATCCACGAAAGCCATATAGATACTGAGATCAAGGTGGTATACTCAATTGGGAAATTAAACCGAGAGCTAAATCGAAAGCCGAAAAATCATCAGCAACCAATCTATCAAAATGATGAAGAAAGTTCTGAGAAAAAAAACATGCAAAGTTAGCAAAGAAAGCCAAAACCGGCCAAAAAAATCGAAAAAAAAACAAAATTTTAACAAATCGAGTTGGTAAAATTACAACCAATTTAAAAAGGAAATTTCGATTCGGCCGGCTTTTTAAAATGATACGACATTAGGAAACTACAATGAAATTTGTTTGCACCAAAAGTAAACGGTATTTAGATCTGGCAATTAAGCCGACAAAACATAAGCAGACAAATAATAGGCCGACTTTTTTTGAACTGGAATATTCACCGTTTGAAAAAAAACAGGTCCTGGTCAGATTCGAATCCAGGAAATTTGCCTTTCCAGGCGCGTATTCGTTACCTCCAGTATAAGTGATCTGCAGATATTAAGAAATTTGACTTTGTTATGAACCGTTATTTGACTGCGTTATGCTTATCGCAAGGGTAATAATAAGAGATAGTAATACAATGGTGTTCGAGTTAATTCTATCATCGATTAATCTTCAATAAATTCTCCTTTTTGCTTCCATTGCCCTGCCTTCGCATTAAATACTCACCATAATTGCTTAAATCACAGTGCAAAAAAGTTAATGAAAATATACATACTCGATATATCTATGGTATTTATTATGATAGTTAAAATGAAAACCTGTAAAAGGAATTAATGACATTTAACCCTTGTGAAACAAATAGGAACATAGATTTTCTCAGGTAAACGACTTGCCTAGGATTATCATGGAAATAATTTCTCAAACCTATTCAATGTGTGTATGAAAATTATTCATCTTTAATCACTCATCATCATCATCATATCCTTCCGCCTTGTCCCAGTCTAGTGAGGTAGGCGGGGCGCTCCTGAATTGTCCAGCGCCATGAGTACCGTTTGAGGATGTCTTCTTTCCTGAGAGCCCGGGTTTTCATCACGTTTTCCTTTTCACATATCCAAGTTTTCTTTGGTCTTTCTTTGGGTTTTTCCTTCCACTTTTTGGTCGAGTGCCAGACGAATTGGGTCTGCGGAGTCTCTTCGCATAACATGGCCGAACCAGCTTAATTGGCCGGTCTCGACCTCACTGAGAGCAGGGCTGTCGATATTCAAACGCCTAAAAAGCTCATCGGTTGGTACACGATCCGCTAGAGTGACTCGACAAGACATTCGCACCATGCGTCGTTCTGTAGATGTGATACGTTATTTATCCAACGCATTTAGTGCCCATGCTTTGTATGAGTACACAAGGACGGGTCTCACGCACCGAAGATAGATTATAAACCGTTGGTGTAGAAAAATGCTTTGTTTGCCCAGCAGCGTGCCATGTAGTTTTCTGAAAGCCAACCAGGCTTTTTTTATCCTGTCAATTACAGTGGCTTCCATATCACACTTGCATCTATGCAATGGCCAAGCTAGGTGAACGTGCTGACCTACTCGAGTTCCCCAAAGTCTTCTTCATTGCAAGGCTGAGTATCGTGACAGCCTGTGCATGCTGCGCATTGAAAAATAGCGATGAAATTAACTTACATCCCGGGCAGCCCAGAGCAGCGCATATGCACCCACTTTTCGCATATGGTGCATATGATAGAGTTAGCACCAACTCGCTTGCCACAACACTGTAGGAATCGATCGCTGCAATCGTCGTCAACTTCAACGACAGACTAAGAGCTTTAGTTTTACCAACGTTCACCTTCAGACCTTTAGGTTCCATTACTGTTTTCCAGGTGTGAAGTTTCGAAAGCACCTCTTCGACTGTTTCACCCGATAGTGCAATATAACCTGCATACAGTAATTCCATGATGCCATTTCTTCGGGCCGACTCGGTGTCGTACTGCATGACTGTTATAAAAAGCAGAGGGATCAGGATAGACCCTTGATGACTCCCACTGTGACCTCAAAATAACCAGACATTTCACCGTTCACAAGCACTGCTGTTCGTGTACCAGTGTACATGGCCTTAATTGCCTGTAATAGTTTCTCTGGAACCCCTTGGATCCGAAGAGCCTCAACAATGATTGCCCGTGGGACACCGTCTTATGCCTTCTCCAAATCAATGAAGATCCAGTGCAGCTTCTTGTTTTTCTCCAATTACTTCCAGTAAATTTGCCTTGTTACGAAGATCGCATCTACTGTTCCTCTTCCGGGCATGAACCCAAATTGTGCATCTGCTATTCGGATTAGCTTCCGGAGAACGAGTTTCTAATAACTTCTCAACAGTCTTGAAACCATGTTCCAGAGTCTTGATGCCACGATAGGAGTTAGGCGACAAAGTATCCCCTTTAACTTTGTACAGCGGATCCAGTGAACTATGATTCAGCTCTTTGGGCAAGGTGTTATTCAGCAGAACATCATTCACAATTTCTCTCATCATCTTCACTCCGCAGTACCCAGCATCTTCATTCATTGCAGTGTTGACCCCTGAGGGTCCGGAAGCTTTGAAACTGTTCACGTTGTGTATAGCTCGTTTCACTTCAGCAGGTGTTCTTCAGCAAAGTACTCGTTCTCTTCGTTCATGATAACCTCGAAGTGATTTTTCCAAACTCTCGTCCGAGGGCGTCTTTAATGACTGAGCAGCAGAAATTAATTTTTATGTTGTAAATATTCTTGGTGTGCAGTTAACGGTCTAAATGTTAAGAAAGGTCAATTTTAAAAGCAAAAAAAGGCCAAAAATGGATGTCTGTGATTTATGAATACTATGCAATTTGATTTTTCAGGTTTTTATTATATGTTTTTTTTGGTCCTATGTTTTCGCCTGTTCAAGTTTTGTCGGCTTTGCTACCGCTTTGTTAATTTTATTGAAAGGCTAATTAAGGCTCAATTGTTTTACTTTGCATGCTTTTTTGACTAAAACGAACTTTATTTAAGAGGATTCGAAACAAACATGAAAATTTTGGTCAATCTGTTTTTTTTTCGGAGAGCTCAATTTTTTTCGATTTGATGGCGTTCTTCTTATTTTTTGTCAGCTGTTTTCTTGCTACGTTTGCTTCAACTCTGTGTTGAAAAATACAGTCGACTGCAATTTCAAGGTTACCAGCGTTTTTGGGGCTTCAAAATAATTTCAGCGTCCTTTGTTTTCATAAGTTTTTTATAAGAAATAAACATTTTTTGTCAATATGGAGAAAATTTGTTGAGTTTTAGCATCAAGTAATTTGGAGCTCCGAAGTATTCATAGAGTTCTCAGACTTCCATTTTCCGCCTTTTTTTGCTTTAATGACATTTAACATAAAGACCGCGTTTTTTAACGTTTGGACCGTGGCCTGCTTACCAGAAATATTTATCAACATGCATAAATGAGTTTGTGAGTGAGTAATTTTCTAAGCTGAATAAGTAATTTTCTAATCTAACCCATTCACAGGTTTACACATAAGTGCGAGAGATCTTTTGTATGTATATATAGATAAAAATTTTATTTTAAAAATATATGGTCAAAGTGAAACGTGAAAAAGATGTGTTCACCGAGGGGCACTTTGGCGTTTGTCCATAAAAAGCTGAACAGCTACTTTTCGGTCCCTTATCTCATAGATAAAATGTCGTAATAGCTATGTTTTAATAAATCAGAAACACTCGATTTTTGGCCATTTTCAAAGTCTTTTTTCATATGATGATTCAGAATTTGTTCATTTGATGATTCAAAAATTTTGTGTTTGTAAGTCAAACAGCGTCATGTAAGATTCAACTTCCGAATTAGTTTTTCTCAGTGTCATGTAAATAAAATAACCAATATAATTT